TCACAGCCCCTCGTTTGTTGTCCTCTTCTCCCTCTCTGCCTACGGTTTACCGGGCAGTTCTATTTGACGATATATATATATATATATATATATACATGCCTAAGTTTGGGTGTTCGCGTAGCCTAAGGAGCCCACACTTAAGAGTTTAATTGGGGTCGAAATTGAGGAAGGAAGGGAAACTCCCTCCCTTTACTGTTGTTTGCTTCTTAAAGATTTCTTAGTCGGACATTGGTCCTGGGTCTGGATTCGAGGTCCTTGTCCAGGACATCCCAGGTCCTAGACTCTGCGTGGAAGGGATCACCCCCCGCGCAGAGCCTATTTGCCCTGCCCACCGGGACACTCAACCTAAGCGCCGAAGGTGCCGGGGGGGTCGAACGACTGTTCCTTTAGCCGTGCAATATCGTGAAGGGCTTGGCCATCACGATACTTCGAGTTTGACACTTGAGTGTGATCAGCGGTACTCGGATCCCCGAGGGACCGCTTGATTATAGGCACTACATAGTACGCCATCATTGCGACTGCTTGCGTAGTGATGCACTGCTCGTCGATATGGGAAGGCCCTGCTTCCGCACGGGTTTTTATACTAAGTCTCGCGCGCGTCGCCTATCCGATTTCCGCGTCGGAACGTTATGGATTGGATACAAAAGGGACTAGGAGTGTTGTCCCGTTGTTTGTTCGGTGTCGTTCTGTATGTGTGAGTGTTGTGGTGTAACGAGTGGTAAGTGGGATGCGTCCTAGTCGCCCAACAACGAGTTGCGCTTGGGACTTCAACCCCCCAGCGTGTCGGTTCGCGTGCGGGTCCGATAGAGGCGTGAGATCGCGTGTACCCCCTATGCTACAACGAACGAGAAACGCCCTCGGCTGGTCCACCTCTGCGATTGCAACTGATTAACTTTCGTACTGTGGACTGGTAGCTCGGCGGGGATACGCCCACTGAACGGAGGTGACAACTCCCACAAGGTGGAGGTAAGTTGTACCTCGCGTTGGCCCTATCCTGTCGTAGGGGCTAGGGAGAGGTATGGCTGGCGCACTCGGCCGGAGCGGCTTGTGGAAGCTCCATGTGTATTCGCGACAAGGATTAGACCAACTCCTGCGTGACGCGGCCTGGAGGGTCCCGCCCTGCGCGGTGCGGGACCGATGTGCTCGACAACGTCCCTTACCTTTCCCCTTGCTGCTGGTTGGTGCTTTCTGGGCCGGGGCCTTGCCCTTAGTTAAGCCCATCAAAGCATCAACCAGGGCAAGAACAATAGAATCTGTAGCAGATGATGAGGCAGTCCCAAGTGGAGTCCCACCTTGGGATGGTGTATCACTATCTGAACCTAAAGATGCAACAGCAAACAGGGCATCCTTCCTCCTTCTTCGCCCCTTTGAGGAGGGTCCCTTCCTTCCTTCAGAAGGTGCTTCCTAAACATGGAGTTTGAACTTTAAGTCCAGGTGTGCTCTGCCAAAGGTTCATCAGTCCTTGTGGCCTTGAGAGAACAAGGCTAGCTGGAATTGCTTAGGCGTTGCCCTGAGGAAATGAATGAGCAGGTCCTGCTCACTCATCTCCAACCGAGGAGTCGATGTGAGACTCTCAAAGGTGGAGTACAGTTTGGACAAGGAGCCATCAAACTTCTTCTGGCCCAGACGCAAAATTTTGTCTGCTGCTTTTTTTGGCCTGCTCCTTGTCTGCAAACCGGTCCTGCAGTGCCTACAGAAATCCAGCCACCCCCAGCCTCTGCGCCCAAATCAGACATTTCCATCCCCTGCTTGTTGGAGGTAGAGGTGCACCATTTTAGTGCTGTCCTCTCCAAGCGAGCCAGGATGGCACTCACCTTTACATCCTCATCACACTTGAACCCACTCATGAAGGTTCGCTGTGCAGTTACCCAATCTGCAACATCCTCCTTAGGGTCCTCACCAGAGAACATAGGTGGAGGGGTCAGCTTGGGCCGCTGCATGTCAAAAGGAGCTGAGGGATGTGAGGTGGTTGTTGACTTGGGTGTAGAGGAAGGAGATGTGTCTTGATTGTGGGGGTGATGGTCTTCCTTGTGAAGGTCCAGGAGATGGAGGAACTGTCAGAGTGGTGGGGATCTTTAAATAAGTAAAGATTTGATCCAGTTTGGAGGAGATGTCATCCAACTTCTGTGAAAAAGTTGAGTGACTGCTCTCTAGACTGGTAATCCTGTCGTCCCAGTTAGTAAAATAAGAACGGTGAATATCATCCTGCAGGAGGATGAATTCAACCATGTCCTTGTTGTACTGACCGAAACTACCAATGGTCCTGATCGTCTCTACATCTGCAATCAGCAGCTTTCTCCTGGCCTCCTTCTGAGCTGCTTCTTCTTTCTTCTTCAGCTCAGCCTTTAGGGACTCAACTGCCTGGACCTGCTGGCGAAGTTTCTCCTCCTGGGCCCACAGTTCAACCTCTAAAGGGTCAAGCAGAATCTGAGGCTTCACATGAGAAGCCTCTCCCTTCCCTGTCTCTGCCATCACCACAATTTAGATAAATAAAAATAAACAATTAAACAGACGACAAACAAGAGGTAATAAGAATTGAGTTTTCCCTTCAATACTTACTCAATTGCTATCACCTGCCTGAAGAGAGGAAGTTGGTTAGTCTGAGCAAGTGAGTGCTCAGTCTCTGCAGACCACTTGAGGGTCAAGGTCAGTTAAGAGTAAACTCAACAAAAAACCAATTTCACGATTTTCCAATCCTTGCCCTGACACAACAATTGCATGCTACAATTGCAAATCCTGCACCAATAAATTGTAGGATGTAGTCCTGGATTGATTAGCAGTGATTAGAATTTAGACAGAGGGTCTAATTAGTGATAAGCAGGTGTCCACTGATGACCAAGGTGCAACGATTTACAGGGGATCCTATTTTGTTGACCTACCCCACAAACTTCACCATTGTATGACCCTGTATGCCATACCTTGGGTATGACGGATTACAGTAATCACTGTAATTGACTCAGAACATCAAATGAGATTGTGCGATTTCAGACTCCGACTGTATACTGAATTGCGATTTACGAGGGGCTGACAGGATTAAGTTCTGACGGACAGAATTGAAGTTATGACTGACCCTAGTCTAGCCAAGCTTCAACTATGGCAGTGCAGAATTCAATTTTGCATTATCAGTAACAATAGGACCCTAAACACACCAATTCACTACACAGTATAACTCGCAATGCTGTAAAGCAGTCACAAATGAAATTTGAGTCAGAAAGGAGGTCAAATAGGGTTAGTAGAAGTCAAAGGTGAGAGGTAGGGGAAATCGGATATGGCTGTCCCCTTGTTTGAATTTTGATTTTCAACTGTCAACACCTCGACAAACCATATTTCGCTCTTCTAAAAATAGACCCAGAATCGCCACTCAGGGTAGAGTAAGGAACACACTTACTTCAGGATCAACTCTGAAGAAGATGAATGAAACTTGAGCTATGGATGATTGGTCAACCCTATCTTGCCAGTTTCATCTCCTGTTGATTCCCAGTGTTCCCACGTACCAAACGTCTTGAAACTTGGTGGTCCAACAGATTACCCTGAGGCGATTCACCCCCAACTGACAGATTCAGTGAATTTGGACTCCCTGGTGCAGATAACTGACAAACTCAGTGCAGCGCCACATCACCCTTTACTTCGTTGCTGGGAAATTGGGGGTCCTGACCCAATGCCAAAATCGCAACCTCCTGGGATCACTTCCTTGTCAATCGCCAGTCTCCAGATGAATCGCCAGGCTAAAAATAACCTCTTAGAGCCTCCCAGGCCTTTGAGCATCAATCACCAAATTCTCCTGCACAACCCTAGGCAGGAGAGAGTCACCCTCTGCCCAATTCTTCTCCCCACACACTCACTACCACCACCCTTACAGACAACAACCTTGAAGATGGTGAATCGCCATGAGACTCAACTCCAGTATCTCGCCAGATGATGATGGTTGCTCCAACTCATCAATCGCTCCGGAGTCTGCATCCAATCGCTCTGGTTCCAACTGTTATGATTCTGGTTGTCTGTTGTCTGAAGACCAACACTCACTCGCATAGACTCCCAGGTATGCCCATACATACACAAAAGCAAGGGGAGAGGATAGGAGTATCACGCCGCACAGGGAGAGATAAACACAGCGGAAGACCTGACTATGAGATATGACAGGGTACAGTGAAAGTGCAATTCACTCCACTCAATCCTCACAACCAGTCATAAAGGAAAGCCGAGTAGATCACATCCAAGGAACAATCAAGCAATGATAGTCTGAACCCAGTATCAACACTGTTTATTATACTCAGAGTCTCGAATTGTCAGAATAACCTCAGAACTATGATGCGCTGCTCAGAGATGAGTAGCACTTCACTCCCCAACCCTAATGAACCGCTATCACTACCCCGGAGTCCCTGAAACATCAAGCGCCACCTAGATACAACCTCCAAAGTGTTGCATACTTGTGAAACACAGTCATAAGTATGGCGCAGATTCCTAGAACCGACCAGATAATACAGAGTTGATACAAATACAGCGGAAGGGCATGATACCTTTGGATTGACTCAGACCTGACTCGGACTGCAATCGAACAACTCTCATACATTCATCGGGTGTGAATGCCCTGGCCTTGGGGAGAGACGAAGGGCCAGGGACTGGAATCATACACGGACGAAGGGGGGAGAGGAGAGAG